AATTACTATAACAGGACATGAGGGGAAAAAGAGAAAATAACTGGGGGATTTTATGAGGCTTTTCATTTTAAAGTCAGAGCTGAGCTCCCTGGTAGGAGTCTGGTCACACACAGTGGGGTGAGAGAGGAGACCCAGGGAAGGCCTTAGAGGCAGAATCAAGATGTTTAAAAAGGAAATGGAAACAATAACAACATATATTTATACAGCGCCTTTCACGTAGGGAGAATGTCCCAAGGGGCTGGACAATGAGGGGTTTGCACCCGAGCTGTGGGTTGGGATCATAGAGAGATGGAGGGCAAGGGGGATGAAGGAGGGAAGATGACCAAACCCACAGTTGAAAAGAAAGGTCTTGAGACCGGCCTTGAAGGAGGCAAGGGATGGGGAAAACCAGCGTCCTGGTCAATCCCTCAGAATGGCTGATTCACTTCATGGCTGTGAATGGGAAAGTGAAAAAGAAATTGGGAAAAGCTGCAGAAATGGGATTAATTCTATAAATGGGTGCTATGAGGAAAATGAGGAGGGTGGGGAACCACAATTTCTGAAAAAGGTGCCAAAGTGCAGGAAGACAAAACCCATTCCCTGCTCTCTCCCCATCATGTCTGTGGTGCTTGCTCCCCCACTGGAGCTCTCTACTCTAATCCAATTCTCTTTCCCTGTAATATTCAATATGACTTCCTTTTAGTTTATCCAATTCTCTTTGAAATGCTGCTACGGACTCTCATTCAACAGCAGCGAAGAGTTCCACATTTAAACCACCCTCTGCGTGTGTGTGTGTGTGTGTGTAAAAGAACTTCTAACCTCCCCCCTCCCCTTTTTGTCTTCTGGTGACAACCCTCGAATTATGCCCCTCGCTGCGTCTCATTAGTGTCCGTGCGGAGACCAGGGACCAGTGACTTAACTCAGGTCCCAAACACAAAAGAGTTAAAGAAAGTTCCGGAACAGTGCACTGAAAATATGCGGCTCTCTTAATTGAGGGGACGGAGGTGGGGGGGGTGGGGGGCAGGCGGGCGGGCGGTGGGGGGGGGTTGGCAGGAAGGTTGGGAGGAATTGACGGACATAGCCTTTGAAGGAATGTGCGCATTGTCAGAACATTATCGCATTCCGTGTCTCCAGGGAAGTGTTACAAGGTCGGATATTCCCAAGACTTGAGGCCCAAACCCCATCTGGTGTTTGCTCCCATTTTTGTCTTAAATTTAGGGCGACGCAAAGTAGTGGCAAAGTTTCACAATCTGTCTCGATACGGAACCTGCAGTCATGAATGCACAGCACCTTCCAAGTTAAGACCAAGTTGTCCACAATTAATAATAATCCTTGCATTTGCACCTTATCATGTCGTTCCCCAGATTCCCCAGATAAAAAAAATTAGCCATTCACTGTGTGTAGGACATTTCATCCACAAAATATACAATTAACTTTACAGTAAATCCTAAGAAGAGCTTTGATACGTCTGATGATGTAAGGATTATTATTATTGTGACATCCAGCCAATCCTGAATTGTCCGACTCATCCTGACACAGAAGCATTGAGGACACAAAGACTGAAAGGTTAAAGAGACGTCTCTTCTCCCTCCCCACCATCCTCTAAGGGGTCGGGGAAGGATCTGGGTGGGGGGGGGTGCGTACTCAAGGCCAATCCTTCTAGCATCCCCGCACCTGAGACTGAGCCACAAAAAAATTCCCCCGTTCCACACATTCATTACGTCCATATTGACTACACCAACTCTCTGCTTGCCTGACTCCTAACTCCTCCACAAGCTGCAGAGCATTCAGAATCTGTAGCTTGTGCCATTTCTTGCCCTAGGCCCCATGAGCCTATCACGCCTATCCTCACCCAGCTCCACAGGCTCCCCCTCCCCTAGAGGATAGAGTTCAAAATCCTCGTCCTCACTTTAAATACCTCCATGGTCTTGCCCCACCCTACCTCTGCGGCCTCTGCAATGTGTGTAAATCCAAAACACAATTTAGATTCACTAGTTCCTTTATTAAAACCTTACACTTACACACTCTTCCAATTTGCCCAGTCACTTTCCCAGAATACTTTCATATTTGCTTGCTTCTCATTGTCAATGTCCAATTGCCAATTAAGTCATTAAAGCAATATGCAACAACCTCCGCAAACTTTACCTTCCTGCTTCTTCCGCTCAGTGGGCACCAGCCTGCCCCACTACCTGTGGTCAGGTTTTCAGTTTATCTGGCCCCCACCCTCTAGAACTCCATCCTGTAGCCCTTTCCCTCCTTCAAGATCAAGCTCAAGACCATCCTCTTTGACCTTGCCTTTGGTCATCTTTCCCCCCACTCTGATCCCAACCCCCTGCTCGGGCTCAAATCCCTGACTGTCCAGAGCCTTGGGGACATCTTCCCGATGTGAAAGGTGCTCTACAAATGTAATTTGTTGTTGTTGTTAACCTGGAGACACAGGTAGGGGAAAAACAATTCATGTCGCGTTAAACTGTGTAACATGTGTTGTTAAACTGCGTAAAACCTGAGATGTTGGGGGATTGTGTGGAGTAAGATGGAAATGGCCAAACAAGAGAATGAAAAGAACAATGTAAGAAGGGCTGTCTTTACAATGCACTGATTTTTATGACTCTCGTAAAGTTGTTTTTTGAGTCAAATATGATTAACAATAACAATAATCTTCACGTAAAATGTCAATAACTTCTCACTATATCCTAAATCTCTGGAACTCTTACCCTCAATCCCTCCATCTTGTCCCCTCCCTCCTCACCTTCAAATCCCACCTAAAGACCTTCCTTTTTGATCGTGCTTACGGTCACCTCCCACTGCCTCTACCGTTGGCTCAGTGTCAGACTCCGCCATTGTGAAGCACTCCGGGATGCTACCCCGCATGAAAGGCCCTATATAAATGCAAGTTGTTGTTGTATTATCTCTCATGGCACTTCATGCATTTGTTGAAGTGTAATGACCTCCGCACCTCTGATCATACACCCCCAACCCGACACCCCCAGCACTCGAGCATCAGCCTGCACTGTGATTAGGTAGGACAGTGTGTATCGGGGGGAAGGAAAAGGGGAGGGTGGGGTGGGGGGCGAGGCACTGGCATGGATGCCCCAGAATCCCACCCTGTCACTGAGAACACTTCATCACAATTTGAAGCTCTCTCCTCAGGCCAGCCCACGTCATAACTGACAAGTGGAGTGACTGTGTTTGTGGGTAAACAATACATCCAATTTGTCGCTTAAACGGCCACGAAGTCAAATGTCCAATTTGTATCTGGAGGATTGTCGACCAGGACATTGGCAGAAACTCCCTTCACTTTTTCAGCAGCTGCGGGATGTTTAATATTCACCAAGAGGAGACGTGCCCCCGCTTGGTTTAACATCTCACCCAAAGGAGGTGCCTCCAACATACTCGTACCCATGCCCTCCAAGCAGTACAAAGTTCCAAACATGAGGCTCAAACCCACAACCTTCTGTTTCAGAAGTGTAAGAGAGAGAGAGACACTCTCTCTTCGTCGAGTCCCAAAGCGTAGTAGTTGTCAAACTCTGGGCGGGGTAAAACATTATACAAATGTCCTTACTTCACATGCCTCTGTCTACATAACAGTAAGTAGGAACTGGTTGTTAGTCCATTGGCAGATCTCTTTCCAGGGGTAATAATCCCTTAAAAAAATTATAATAATTTGGCCATTCTATCTATGACTGTTTGTGGGACACTGCTGTGTACAACTGCCTGCTGCATTTCGCCCACAAAACACACAGTCAATCCACTTTACAATATATCCTATGATGTGCTTTGAGATGTTTCAACGATGTGTTAAGGCGCTATATCAAATGCAAGAATTATTATTTTAGGGATATTATTACTGATTGAAGCAAGCTTCACTCACAAACAGAATAAATTCTGTCAGACAGGACGTCACAATAAACAAATCCGCAAGCTAAATGAGGCAGGTTCTGTCTCCACCATGACTTCACCCCAAACATACTGTAATGTTCATCTCTTTAATGTAAAAAAACAATAATAGTTGAAAGTTTCTGATGTAACTAACTATGAAAAACACTGTTTTTATGGATTCTTTATACATTTTGAACTTGTCTCTCTTCTGAGCTCTTCTCTTAAGAACATAAGAGCATAAGAATTTGTGTGACCGAACCTGTGTGACCAAGGTCCATTCAGTTCACCTTCCACCATCCCATCATTCGCATGACGTTGTGTCTAAACCGAGCAGGTTTCGAACAGCCGCCAAGAGTAACTTGCATTTACATAGTGATTTTCACACAAGGTAGCGTCTTGGAGCAATTAAAGGTTTGATGTGTAAGGCTAATGCATCGATGCGAAGGGAAATCCAGAGAGACTATTTCCACTCATTGGCCAGTCAATAAGCAGAGGGCCACAGGTGAAGACATCTCTGGGAAATCAAAGAGAAGACGTCTTTCCCACCGTGCTTTGGTAAACCTGTCAATCACTTCACCACCAACCTCTGCTGAAGCCACATCCTTAACAGCATTTAAAAGGGATTTGGATACTTACTCCTGGAAACAATGATATTAAAGGTTGTGAGAGAGCAGGGAATGGGATTAGAGTAGAGAGCTCCAGTGGGGGAGTGAGCACCAGTACAGACACGATGCATGAATGGCGTCCATCGGTGGTAGAAGTGTTCCATGGAACAAAGCATTTGCTAGACAAAAGAAGACCAAGTTCACCTTCCACCACCCTGACAGTTGCATGCGAGTGTCATGTCCTGAACTCATATACTGTATCCTAAAATATTATTTCCTAAATCTATCCAATTTGCATTTGAAAGAATTGACACTTTCATGATTGTTTGGAATGATAAGTCCTGATCAAGTGATCTTCTCGGGAGAAAGACTGGAATGAGCAGGAGCTAGTGGGTGTAGCTGGCGGGTCTTTTATTGACCCCCCTCCCTTTCTTATCCCTACTGCGAGGGAGACAGGAACAACAAGGCCAACACTGACTCAGAAGACAATAATAATAATAATACAAGTCCCCACACGGGATCAGGCTTCACAAGAGCATTGAGCAGCCCCATCCCTATTGAAGAAGCCAAAAGAGATATCGCCTTATAAATAACCTACATGCACACCCACTCGCACAGGCACACACACCCCAATTCCCTTTTTAAATATATATCAGCCGTATTCAGAGTTCCTTTCGCAATGAGTAGAAAAATAAAGTATCTTCGGTTTCGTTCCGTTCACTTAAAAAAACGTGGCTCCAGGCATAGGCCTGAGTCGGGGCAGGCCTGGGAGAGGGAAGAAGCAGGAATCCTAGCTGTCCCGGTGGTGACGTCCTCTCTTAGTCCTCTTTGTGACAGTGGTGTATTTGAAAGGTCTGTGATGGTCTCCCTTGTCCTTGGGGAGTCTTTTCATGAAATGGACCTCCCGTTGATTCTGCTGGGTCTTTGAGCCCTTCCGCGGCCGTCCCTTCCTGGTGAAACCTAGGTACCAGCCTTTATACTTGGCCGACACCAGAGCCGTGTAGTTGTTCTCTAGCACTTCCTCCACGAACACGCACTCCCGGTTCTTCCCGTTCAGCTGAGGATGAGGGGTGGGGGAGGGAACAAAATACAGCGTCAGTCATTGAGGGAGTGTGACATGTGACATTGACATGTAAGAACCCAGTTATTAGTTGATTGCTGGATCACTTTCTGGGGTTAATAATCCCTCCAACTAACTAACTAACTAACTAACTAAATAACTGAATGAATGAATGAATGAATGAATAAAAAAATAAAAAATAAAAAAATTTGGCCACTCAATCCACGACTGCTGTGTGCAATTGGCTGCTGCGTTTCACCCACAGAATATACAGTATATTCTTTGAAGTACTTTGAGATGCCTCAATAATGTGATAAGGCGCTATATCAAATGTACGGATTATTATTCTTGTGGCCTCCAACACTATTATGAGAATTATGACGTGCAATTTATATTTACATCTAATGTTTTTTACATCCATAGGAAAGAACTTTACATGACTTGAAAGGGAGGGGACTGAATTTTTTGGGGGTCAGCCAGGTGTCTGAAACTTGCAGAAACCCATCACCACATGTGTAAGAGTCTCCAAACCAAACTGAGAATTTTATGCATCCCACTTCCACATGGAAATTCCGGACATAGATTGTTGGAATGGAATGCGCACTCTCTCCCTGGAGGGACACATCCTGATTACCCAAATCTGAAAAATATTAGGTGCTAAGATACTCCTGGAGGGGGTTGAAGAAGCTGAGGGCGGGGGAGCAAAATGATCCAATGTGAGGCCAAAGTGGTAAGTCTTGAGGCAGGCTTTCAATGTGGGGAGGGAGGGAGCGAAGGGTGAGTCGGAGGGACTCTCGGATGCAGTTTCACAGAATGGGAGCAGAATAGCTGGCCCACTCATGGGGCATGCCCTCTGAGAGAAGGGAGTGCCCAGGTCGGAAGTGTTGCAGGACATCAGACAGGTAGGGTGGGGCCAGGTTACGGAGGGGATTGAATGCAATTTATCATTAATTCATAATAATAAATGTAATTAATATAATCCTTGCTTTTGATACAGCGCCTTTCAGTTTAGGAGCTCATCTCAAAGCAGAAGTTTTTACTGCAAAGTGTAGTTAGTTACTGTGGATTTGTAGATGAACATGGTAGCCAATTTGTCCACAGTAATAAACAGCCAATTTTTTCTGGGGGATTGTTTGCCAGGAGCCTGGGAGAGAGAAATTCCCTTCTCTTTTCGAATAATACTGCAGGATCTTTAACATCCACCTGAACCTCGTTTTAATATCTCATCTGAAGGACGTCACCTCTAACCATGCAACACTTCCCCCAGCACTGTATTGCAGTGTCAGTCTAGACTGTGAGCTCAGAATCCCTCTGACTCAGAGCTGAGAGTATTACTAACCGAGCCAGGCTGATTGGCAGATATGAACACCCAACGGAGAAGAGAAAGAATTCTCTCCAGGTGTACTGGCCAACATTCCTCCAGATAAAAATGGATACTAACTTCATGGCTGTTTGTGGGATATTGTTGTGCCATATTTGCCAACAAATAGAATGACTTCACTTTGCAGAAAGCTCTATGAAGAGCATTGAGAAATCTCCATGTTATATATGCTGTGTCCAACATGGGCAATGCATGTTGTTTTTGTCCCAGATCATTGCTTTGGAACACCCCCAAATTCCCCACCTCTCTGTTTATCTCTATTAAAATAATAATCCTACATTTGATACAGCACCTGCATCAGATAAACATCTCAAAGCGCTTCACAAAATTTATTGTGAAGTGTAGTGACTGTATAGTGAACCCCTGATAACTCAACCCTGGCTTACTTTGTCACTACCAATTAAGTCATCATGCTGTCAATATCCCGGCCTCATTTTTTAATGTACTTATGCATTCACCTAACTTGCCGCTCCTGATTACTCGCTACTGAGCCAGTACGGAACCTTAGTGTCTTATTTGACCCTCAATTTCCTTTCTATCTCACATCCGTGCCTTGACCAGCTCTGCCGCCCCCACCTCTGCAACATCGCTCGGCTCAGTCACTGCCTCTCCCTTCAGGCTGCCGAGATTTTCATCCATGCTTTCATTACGTCCATGCTCAACCACTCCAACTCCCTGCTTGCCTGACTTCCCAACTTTTCCCTCTACAAACTGCAGATCATCCAGAACATTGCAGCTCATGTCCTCTCCCGATCCTATCACCCCCACCCTTGCACTGCTTCACTAGCTCCTTATCCCCCAGAGGTTAGAGTTCAAGGTCCTTGTCCTCACCTTTAAAACCCTCCATGGTCTTCCTGTTCTCTAGCTCTGTGACCTACTAATACCATACCAACCTGTCCAGTCCCTCCGCTCGCTTGGGGGCACTGGCCTAGTCCATGCCCCCCACTCTGCCCGCTCCACCAATGATGGTTGGATATTCAGCCTTTCTGCCCCCACTTTCTGGAACTCCATCCCGGAGTCCTCTGCCTTGCTCCCCCAGCCCCCACCCCCACCCCCACCACCCTCTTGCCTCCTTCAAGACCCTTCTCAAGACTTTCTCTTCAACCATGCCTTCAGTCATCCTCCCACCCCTCCTACCCTCCACCACTCCTGATCTCAACCCCCAGCTCAGGTGCAAACCCTTCACTGTCCAGCACCTTGGGACGTCATCCTGATGTGAAAGGCACTATTTAAATGTAATTTGTTGTTGTTTGTTGGGACGAGTTATCAGGAGTTTACTGTATTTGTGGGCAAATGCAGCAGCCAATTTGCTCACAGTCAACATCCCACGAATTGCCATGAAGTGAATGATGTATTGTGAAACAATTGAAGACATCCATACAATGTGAAATTTTCTAGCATTCTTTACCTTTCCCAGGATCTTGCCTCGCTTGTTCATGCAGATGTAATGTCCCGTTTCCTTCCCTTTGATCCGCACGTGACTCCCGAACGTGTCCGTTTCCACCACAAGCAGAGCTGGATTGAGGAGAGGGAGTTGATGTGGACTGAGTGTTACAGTGACCGCGGTGGTGAGGTTAGCCCAGGAAGGGGCAGCGCACAAACAGGTGTAAGGATGACGGAACACTGTTAAGCGCTCAGAGATTCTGCTCCACCCCCCCACCCCCTCGTCTTGAAGGGCGCTATATAAATGCAAGTTGTTGAGTTGTTGTCCCACAGCTTTGGATCCCTCAGGGAAGAATCACCCCATCATGAAGTCCTGTAGCTCAGTGGTTAGAGCATTCGCCATGCAAGCGAAAGACCTGGGTTCTATTCCAGGCAGGGCGAAATGTTGGGTAAGTTTCCTTACTCCACACACCTCTGTTTACCTAGCAGTAAGTAGAAACTCGGTTGTTAGTTGATTGGCGGATCACTTTTCTGGGGATAATAATCCCTCAAAAAAAATAATTTGGTCATGCAATCCACGACGGTTTGTGGGACACTACTGTGTGCAATTGACTGCCGTGTTTCGGCCACAAATATACAGTCAATTCACTTTACAATATATTCTATGAAGCACTTTGAGATGTCTAGAAGACTTGAAAAGCGCTATATCAAATGCAAGGATTGTTATTATTATTTATTATTATTCAGCGTGTCAGTTCCAGCAACTGTAATACATGTCCCTTTAAGGAAACTGTGTGAGCCACACTAAGCATTGGCTGACCCCTGAACGAGCTATATGACTGGGTGGTTCATTAGTTGTAAACATTACAAAGCTAACACAAACTATACGCTGAATCAACACACACCAGGGCGAGCCCTGCTAATTCGCAAGAAAGGACACCAGATGCCCCAAAATTCCACCTGGTCTTAGCCTGTGAAACCATTTCATTTTCAGATTTACGATGAAATTTAGTCTCAATTTGGAACAACAACAACAAGTTACATTTGTATAGCATCTTTCACATCAAAACAATGTTCCAGGGCGTGAAACAGTCAAGGATTTGGAATCGAGCAGGGGGTTGGGATCAGGAGAGGTGCAGGTTAGAGGTAGATGGGTGACCAAAGGCATGGTCGAAAGGGAGGGTCTTAAGACAGGCCTTCAACAAGGCAAGGGAGGGGGCAAGGCAGAGAGACTGTGGGAACCTGGTTCCTGGCAATCTGGCTCACAGATTGAGATAGAAGATTTTCCACAATTTCCACACGACAAAATGGTCTGGCAGGCAAGCCTTGGTGGAAATTTGGGTCTTTGAGCCAATGGTAAAAGTGCAGGTTATTTCAGGTAGGACAGAAGGAACTTCATTCAGAGGCTTGTTAGAGTTCATTCCCACAAGTGGCTATTAAAGCTGGATCCATAGAATCGTTCTAGGGTCGACATCAGGAAAACGTCTCAAAGTGATTCATTCTCTCAATTTTAATGACTGTGTTTGGAGACAAATCTGGCAGCCAATTTGCGCACATCAGTAAACAGCCATGATTGTTGGCCAGGATACCGGGAAAGAGAAACTCCCTTCTCTTTTCCAATAGTGCCACAGGATTTTTAATGTCTCAAAGTGTTTCACGGGATACACTGTAAAGTGTAGTGACTGGTGTTTTGAAGGCGAACATTTTGAATGGAACAGAGATCCAGTAACAGCCTTTGAAACGTTGAAAGGATACTATGTGCTTTGTCACTGGAAAAGTTAAAGGGGAGGTTAGAAATGTTTTATCATTCAAATAGTTATCTGATAACATGGAATCCTTCACCATAAGTCGCTATTGAAGCAAAGACTGTAAAGAAATTTTCAAGAGGGTCTGAGGAAAGAGCAGGAAATGGGATTAGAATAGAGAACTCCAGTGGGGAGCAAGACCCACTTAAAGGGAAAGGTGATATATAGGGATTGATTGCTAAAATTATCCACTGTTCTTGGATATGAAGACTGGATGGTTGCTACTGTCCGTTCACCTCTGTTCAAGTAAATTACAACATGACATTTTCATGTGTACGTGGCCTAAGTAGAATTCTCAGTTTGATTTGGAGACTGTTGAACACAGTGATGAGTTTCCACTTGTGTCAGACACCCAGATGACCAAAAAAATGAGACCCGTATAGATTTGTTAAAGGCAAATCTAACAGCATGCTTTGATGAAATAACTCAGAGTGTAGAAAAAGGCAAAGCTGTGGATGTGGCGTATACAGGCTTTCAGAACAACAACTTGCATTTATAGAGTGCTCTTATAGAGAAATCCCTTATATCTCTATTACGCTCTTCACATGGAGTAGCGTCTCATGGTGTTCAAAGATGTTAAAGGCAGGATGAGGTGCCTCATGTGTGTTAAAAAAAATAATGTCGAGGATATTATTGCACTCTCTTCGGCTCCTTCACTCTACAACCTTTTATTGTTGAAGGGGAGGGCAATTCTATGGAGCAATATTATTGAAGGGGAGGGTGGGCTTTATTATTCAAGGGGCAGGCGATTCTATGGTTAAGGGAAAGGGCAATTCTCTAGCCATTTATTGCTGAAGGCAAAGGTGATTCTATGGGTCAATATTATTAGAGGGGAGGGTGACCTTTATCATTAAAGATGTGTATGTACTGTTAAAGGGATGGATGATTCTATAGTCATTTACTGTTAAAGAGGAGGTTTCATGGCTATGGAATGTTAAAGAGTAATAATAATAATAAACCTTCCATTTGATATGGCGCCTTATCATGTAGTTAAGATGTTTCAAAGCTTCACAGATTATACTGTAAAGTGGATTGACTGGGTGTTTTGTGGGCGAAATATGGCAGCCAATTGTGCATAGGAATGTCTTAGATTGATTTTTTTTGGAAGGATTATTAACCCCGGAAAGGCAATCTGCCAATCGACTAACAACCAGGTTTTTACTTACTGCTGGGTAAACACAGGCGTGTGGATTAAGGAAACTTGCCTAAGGTTTCGCCCTGCCTGGGAATCAAACCCAGGTCCTCTCATTTGCAAGGCGAGTGTATAACCACTACATAACAGGACTTGGTTCCAGGTTGCTGGTGATAAATTAACGTAGTCACCAGCTTGCGATCAGGAGCCTTAAAGGGGAAACGCACATGGAGGCAGCTTGGTTCCTTGCATCACATCAGACGCGAAGATCACAGAGGCCGGAAGATTAAAAGGAAATAGTATTTAAGAGATGGAGACTACCTCTGACTTTACAGTGATGCCAGAATATAGAGATAGCATCTTATCAGAAGTTTCCTCTATCTCCCTTTTTCTCTTTCAATCTAATGATCCCGCAGCCTCATATACTATTCGGGTTAGGGCTGAGACAGGGAAAAATCTCTTTTCCCAAAGGACAATATGGAACTGAAAAGCCACGGATCAGAAATCATTTGAGGGAATTCATAACAACAGTAATAATCCTTGCATTTGCACCTTATCACATCATTGAGGCATCTCAAAGCGCTTCACATGATTTTACTATGAAGTGTAGTGTATTTTCCAGGCAAATGCGGAAGCAGATTTGCACACAGCAGCATCCCATAAACAGCCATGAAGTGAGTGACCCATTTTATTTGGGGGTTTGAAAAGGTTTCGGTATGATAAGGCGCTATATCAAATGCAAGAATTATTATTATACAGCACTTCATCACGTTGTCGAGACACCTCAGAGCGCTTAACAGAATATATTGTAAAGTGGATTAACTGTATTTTGTGGGCAAAACGCGGCAGCCAATTGCACACAGCAGTGTCCCACATACAGTCATGGATTGAGGACCAAACCCGGGTTCTCTCGCTTGAGAGGCGAGTGCATGACATTTTAGGAACACAAGAATAGGAGCAGGCCATTCGCCCCTCGAGCCTACTCCACCATTCTGTTAGATCATGGCTGATCTATATCTCAACTCCATATACCGGCCTTTGCCCCATATCCCTTGATATCCTTACTCAACAAGAATAACAAAAATTGTCAGTTGTTTCCAGCTCCTCCCACCATTCCCCCACGAGCCCGTCCTCTCACCATACTGGCCCCCATCCTCGCCGTTGGCACTGATGCGCTGGCCCAGCACCTGGACGTGCTTGCCACTGGTCCGGCTGTACAGCTGGTAAACCCGGATCTGCTTCCGGCTCAGATCATCTGAATGTCGTGTCCGGTTCTCCACATATGTCCGGAAATCTGAGGCCCTGGGCTTGCACTCCTGTTAAGAGCAGAAACGGTCAGCGTGAGGGGGAACATAAGAACATAGGAACAGGAGGAGGCCATTCAGCCCCTGGATCCTGTTCTGCTCTTCTATAAGAACACGGCTGATCTGTACCTCAACTCTAATTGCACGCGTTTGACCCATATCCCTTGATACCCTTACTGAACAAATATCTATTGATCTCACATGGTTAAGAGTAAACGGGGTTGTGTGTAACATCAACAACGTGATTTACACAGCGCCCTCCACACGGGGCAGTATTCTAGAGCGCTTAACAGTGGAGGAGCCTGACACCAAGTCGGGTGGAGGGTGAGGAAGGTCTTAAGTCGTGCTCTAAACAAGCGGAAGGAGAGGGCAAGGTAGAGAATAGCAGCCCCTGCATATATTATAGAGAGCAATACATAGAATTAACATAGAACATTACAGCACAGAAACAGGCCATTTGACCCAACTAGTCCGTGCTGGTTTACATACTTCACATAAGCCTCCAACGCTCCTCACCCCCTATCCCATACCTCTCCATTCCCTTCTCCCTCATGTCTGCATTCTGTGTACATTACAGATAATAGCAGTCCCTGTGACAAGCTTTGATGAAGCCTCTCTCAGTCGGTAGCACTCTCGTCTCTGAGTCAGAAAGTTGTGAGTTCAAGCCCCACATTGGGACTTTGAGCTTGCACTCCAGGCTGACACTACAATACAGCGCTGGGGTGACCATTGCCTTGTCAGAGCTCCTGACCTTCAGATGAGATGTTAAACTGAGGAACCATGTGCCTGTTCAGGTGGATGTTAAAGATCCTGCAGCACAATTGGAAAAGAGAAGGGAATTTCTTTCTTCTGGTGTCCTGGCCCTCAGGTAAAATCATTTCACAGCTGTTTGTGGGACATTGCTGTGCACAAATTGGCTGCTGTGTTTGCCTACAAAATACACAGTCACTACACTTTACAGTAAAATTCTGTGAAGGGCTTTGAAACGTCCTTTTGACCTGAGAGGCACTGCTTGTCCCTTGTGCCTTCCATTCTACCATCGGTGACCCCCCTTTCAGCCACTAGGCCCCGAAACTCTGGAAAACTCTTTCTCAATCCCTCCGCCTTGCCTCCCTCCTTCCCCATCTTCAGGTTACACGTGACGACCTTTCTCTTCGACCGCAACTACGGTCACCTCCACCTGCCCCTGGCTCGGTGTCATGCTCCGCCACTGTCAAGTGCTCTGGGACGCTACCCTGCATGAGGGACGCTATATAAATACAAGTTGTTGTTAACAGATAGTAGGATTATTAGTATTAATAATAATAAAAATCCAAGTTAGAAAACAAGTGTGTATAACGTATTACAGCTTTTAGCAGAGAGATGTTCACCATGGCTCTCCTCTCAGCCCCCTGCAGGGCAACAACTTGCACTTACAGGCAGGAGAACATCACCCAGACTTTATAGACAGCATGGGTCACAACAATAGCAACAACTTGCATTTATATCGCACCTTTCACGTCAGGAGGACCACACAAGGCACTTGACAATGAGGGGTTTGCACCAGAGCTGGGGTTTGGGAATCAGAGAGGGGTGGAGATCAGGGAGGGTGAAGGAGGGATGATAACCAAAGGCATGGTAGAAAAGGAAGGTCTTGAGACAGGCCTTGAAGGAAGCAAGGAAGAACGTGAGGTAGAGGGGCTCTGGGTTACAGTTCTAGAGGGTGAGGGCAGAAAGCCTGAAGGCCCGACTGCCGATGGTGGAGCAGGCAGGGCGGGGGACATGGAGCAGGCCTGTCTGTACCCACCGTGCGGAGGGAGTGGACAGGTTGGTGAAGTTTCAATAGGTTGCAGAGGTAGGGAGGAGCAAGACAAAAAGCTTGTCAATGGTAATAGCTGGTTAAACAACAGTGTATGTTTCCAACACACACTCTTGGGTCCCCGAGACTTGGCTCTTGCCAACCTGTGCCTATCCTTTCTTGAATTATGTGAGCACGCTGTCTCCCTTCGGGAGAGAGTGCATATTCCATTCCAGACACAGGGAAACTGAACACGTGTGAAGGAAATTCTCAGTGGTTAGGTTTGGAGAGTCTTAAGCACGGTGATGGGTTTCTCCATGTGTCAGATATCTGGCTGACCAGAACAAATAATAATAATCCTCGCATTTGACATTGGACCTTATCACATCGTCAAGACATCTCTAAGTACTTCACAGGATATAATGTAAAGTGGATTTACTGTATATTTTATGGCAGAACATGGCAGCTAGTTTGCACACAGCAATGTCTCACAAACAGCCACGGAGTGAGTAACCAATTCTATTTGGGGGATGTTGGCCAGGACACCAGGAGAGAAAAACTCCCTTCTCTTTTCGATAGTGCAGTGACACTTTTAACGTCCACCTGAACAGGCAGAAGCGACCTCAGTTTAACGTCTCATCCGAAGAACAGCATCTCCGACAATGCAACACAGTGCTGCATTTGAGTGTCAGCTTAGACTGTGATTCCAAGACCCCATGTGGAATTTTAAACCACAACCTTCTAACTCAGAGGCGAGAGCCAGGCTGACACATGTGGACCATAGAAAATGCGTGCAGCTAATTAATAATCATTGATTTGGCCTCTTATTAAGATGTTTCAAGGATTTACTGTGAAGTGCCTTAGATGAATAAGGCTGGCAATTTGCACATAGCAACGCCCTACAAACAGCAATGAAGTAAATGACCAATTTTATTTGCAAGGATTATTGGCTAGGACACTTTGGGAGAGAAACTCTTCTCTTTTCAAATAGCACTGTGGGATCTTTAAGTTCCATCTGATAATTGGACATCACATAAAATACAAACTGGATTCAATGCTTGCGAAAACATCTTCCTTTTAGAGTTAAATGGCAGGAAAGAATCCTGCATTGGGTCAGCCTGTCTCTCCACCACACTCTCTGCCTCCTTATCTCAACAAGCACAGCTACATCCTCATTTCATAACATGCAAGTATTATCTCTCTCACTCTACCTCTCTCTCTCTGTTGTTTTGAATCTCTCTCTCTCTCTCTCTGAATCCCCTCTCTCCCAGTCTCAGTCTCTTCCTTTCTCTCTCTGTCTCCCACTCAGTCTCTTTCAGTATCTCTTTCCACTCTCTTTCTCTCCATCTCGCCCTTTCTCTCAGTCTCTCAATCTCTCTGTCTCTCTCTCTTTGAATCCTTCTCTATGCACCCTCTCTCAAAATCCCTTTGATTTTTGCCATCTGTCAAAAGCCTCTGAATGTTGTTTGTGTGTCCGCCTGGCTCAGTGGTAGCACTCTCGCCTTTGAGTCACGTTGTGGGTTCAAGCTCCACTTCAGAACTTGGAATCACAAGCTGACACTCCAATGCAGCCCTAATCGGAGGTGCAGTTATTCGGATCAGACTTTAAGCCGAGGTCCCATCTGCTTGTTCGCATGGATGTTAAAGATCCCATGGCACTGTTCAAAAAGAGAAGAGAGTTTCTCTCTCCGTGTGTCCTGGCTAACAATCCCCCAAATAAAATTGGCTGTTTGTGGATCACTGCTGTGAACAATTGGCTGCAGCTTTTTTCCACAAAATACACAGCCACTACAGTATATTCTGTGAAGCACTTTGAGATGTGTCAACAACGTGATAAGGCGCAACATCAAATGGAAGAATTATTATTATTATTATAGCCTACCTATTTGCCTTCTGCCTTTGACTCTGAAATATTCTCCAATATGACAAACATTCCACAAATCTGTGTTAGTGAAATATTTCAGAAGTGATTTTGAGCTCAGAATCTAGGCTGACGCTGCAGTGCTGGGGGAGTACTGCAGTTTCATGCAATGCATGAGTCCTGTAGCTCAGTGGTTAGAGCACTCGCTTTGCAAGTGAGAGACCTGAGTTCAATTCCAGGCAGAGGGCGAAACCTTGGGCAAGTTTCCTTACTCCACACGCCTAATAATAATCCCTCCAAAAACCAAAAACAATAATAATTGGTCATTTTTAATCTACGACTGTTTGTGGGACATTGCTGTGCGCAATTGGCTGCCGCGTTCGCCCACAAATATACAGTCAATTCACTTTACAGTGTGTTCTGTGAAGCGCTTTGGGACGTCCTCCCGACGTGAAAAGCGCTATATCAAATGCAAGGATTATTATTATTATTATTATTATAATGCAATTTTCCCTCCTAAAAACCCCTCACTCTCTTTAACTATCTCCTTGCTTACCTCCTTAGTGAGAGGTAAGCGGGGTCTCCTTGGCTGAACTGGCTCCAAGGTGACATGTTTGGCAACAGAATGTCAGAATTAAGCCAGCTGTCTGTGACAGTCTCTAGTCCAGTTCCTGAGCCAGGTGGGTCCGCAGTATTCCAGGGCACTGCTGATGACAGCTCAGCCCAGCCTGGCTCATTGGAAGGACCTGGAAGGACAGACCAGTCACTGGGGGCAGGGAATCCTCCCACTCAGCTCCTGTTAACCCTGCAAACCATACCCTTAATGGGTTGGGTGGTCCTGGCTAGACAAGCAACGAGAAAGCTTGCCAGACAGCGATATAATACAATGCAAAATTACATTTGTAAAGCGCATTTCATGTCGGGAGCATGTCCCAAAGCACTGAACAGTCAGGGATTAGTGATTACCTGAACAGGGGGTGCGGGTGGGAGGTTTGGGGATCAGGGAGTGTAGAGGGCAGGAAGGGTGTCAGTAGGAGAGTGGCCGAAGGCATGGTTGAAGAGGAGGGTCTTGTCTTGAAGGTTGCCTTGAAGGAGGCAAGGGAGCGAGCAAGGTGAAGGGAATGTAGGATGGAGTTCCAGAGGGTGGCGGCAAAGAGGCTGAAGGCCTGACCACCGATGGTGGGGTGGGCTGGGCGGGGGACATTGAGCAGGCCGGAGCCTGCCAAGCAGAGTCAGCGGACAGGTTGATAAGGGGTTAGCATGTTACAGAGGTAGGAGGGGGCAAGGCCATGGAGGGCCTTGAAGGTGAGGATGAGAATTTTGAACTTGATCCTCTGAGGGATGGGGAGACAGTGGAGCCGGGCAAGGGTGGGT